GCCCTCTCCCTGGGGATCACCCAGGTCCCCCCGCCCCAGCCCATGCGGCACCCTGCGTGGTAGGGACAGGCTGGGGGCTGAGGGCCAGGCCTCCTCACCCGTCTCTCACACAGGACTCCCTGCCACCCTCCCACCCCCTGAAAGCTGTCCCTGTCGCCGTGGCTGATGAAGGGGAGTCGGAGTCAGAGGATGAGGACCTGAAACCCCGAGGTGGGCAGCTTCAGGCAGGGGCGGGCGGTGGATGCTCGAGGTCCAGCAGACCCAGCCGTCCTCACCCGGGCTCTGACCTTCGACCCTGACCCTTCTGCATGTGGCCTCCGTGGCCGTGTGGCCGTGGCTGTCATGGCTGTTGTGGGAGGTGGGAGATAGCAGGGCAGGGCTTGCGAGGTCCCCTCGGAGCGGGGCCGTCACCCCTGCCGGTCGCTTCCCAGGCCTCACGGGCATGAAGAACTTGGGCAACTCCTGCTACATGAATGCCGCCCTGCAAGCCCTGTCCAACTGGTAGGTGGCCCCCTGCGGATCCCGTGGGTGACAGGCAGGAGGTGCAGTCCTCCCTGGGCCGCATCTGCGAGGTGGCGGAGCAGTGGGGCTGGAGGAGACAGGTAGGTGTGCCGCACAGGCCAGTACGCTGAGCCTGGGTGCCGTGACCAAGGTACTGTGGCTGGGGGTCTGTCCCCGGGCCTCCAGATGGCCATCCTCTCAGCCTGGCCCGAGCCTGTCCTCTGTGTGCACCTGGTGAGCTGCCTCTGTTAAGGATGGGGCGGGCCCGGAGTGACCGCACGGTCAGCACGGGGCCAACACTCGGGTGTTCCTGTGGGCTGGGGCTGTGTCCAGCTTCGGGTCCTCCGGCCCCTGCATCCCCGGAGCACCCGGGCCTTCGCTGCTCAGTGGGGCTCCTCCTAACCGAGTTGTGTCCCCTCCCTGCCAGCCCCCCGCTAACCCAGTTCTTCCTGGAGTGCGGTGGCCTGGTGCGCACGGACAAGAAGCCGGCCCTGTGCAAAAGCTACCAGAAGCTGGTGTCCGAGGTCTGGCACAAGAAGCGGTGAGTGCCTGGGCCCCAGCCCTGGGCTGAGGCCGGGCTTTAGGCAGCCCCTGTCTCCGGCCCTAGTGGCTGCCCGCACCCCAGCGTTACATGGCTCACAGCTGGCCACGGACTGATGGGCTGGGTCTCCCTGCAGGCCGAGCTACGTGGTCCCCACCAGCCTGTCTCACGGGATCAAGTTGGTGAACCCGATGTTCCGTGGCTATGCCCAGCAGGTAGGCTGTTGAGCTGCCTGGGCGCAGAGTGCCAGGGCGGGGTAGGTGGTCTCTTGCTTGGCAGGGCCTGTGGGTGGAGCCTGTTGCCATGTGGAGCCCGCAGGCGGGGCCTGTTGCTGGGCTGGCTGGCTTGTGCCCTCTGCCCCAGCCCAGGGAACGTGTCCTAGTCCCACCACCTGAAATAAGCCATGAAATAGGGCCCAGGCTCCTGCACACAGCCCTGGGTCTCAGCAGCACTTAACCAAATAAAAACATGAATTACAGTAACTTCTTAATCTGGGAGAATTTGCAAGCAGCCATATAGGCTGGGCGTGGTGGTGCATTCCTATAAGCCCAGCACTTGGGAGGCCAAGGCAAGGAGATTACTGCGAGTTCAAAGTCAGCCTGGCCTCCATAGTGAGTTTAAGGCCAGCCTGAATGGCATAGCAAGACCCTGTCTCAAAAATAAACCAAACAGGGATCCAGGATTTAGCTCAGGTGCCGCCTGCCTCATAAGCGCAAGGACCTAAGTTCAGTCCCTGGTACCAAAAACAAAAAAAACAACAAAAAAAAAACACCCACAAACAGCAGCCATATATTTCTAAATGATAAAATCAGAAGACCTGGCTGGGCATGCTGGCCCACATGTCATCCCAGCACTCTGGGAAGCTGAGGCAGGAGGATCCCAACTGCGAGCTTAATCTGGGCAACTGAGCGACTCAGCCAAATCCTGTCTCAAAGTGAAAAATAAGAAAAGCATGGGGGATGTAGCTGCCTGGAAACCCCAGCACCATGCACACGTGTGCACATGCACACATCATGTGGCCCAGGCTGTGGCAGCCTGTGTGAGATCACCCTATGTGGAGTTGCTGGTCCAGGTCCCAGGGGCCCGGGTGCCGGTGGAGTCCAAGGCTGGGCCTGGGCCTGCTGGGTTCCCTCCTCTGCTGCTGAACAGGGGTCCAGCGGTGGGTGTGTGGAGGTGCTGCCTGTGCCTGGCCAGGCCTGCTGCCGTTTCTGTCATGTGAGGAGGAGCTGGTGCCTGAGGAGGCCCTGCTGGGTGTGTGTGAGATTGTGATATTGGGCCTCTAACCCAGGGCCTTTATACCGAGCTACACATCTGGTCCTTTTTTTTAAATTTTGAGACTAGGTCTTGCCCACTTGCCCAGGCTGGGCCCACACTTACGATCCTCCTGCCTCAGCCTCCCAGAATACAGTGCTCACGGGTGGGCACCGCCAACCTGGCCAGGGTGCCCCTGCGGGTTGAAGACAGAACCAGGAGAGGCTGGCTGGACCTGGTCCCCTGCCTCCTGCCCGATGACACGCGTGGTGCTGCCCTGAGCTCTGGCCCGCTGTGGCGGCCAGGGAGCCGGTGGGCTGCTCCGCGCCGCCA